ATTTAGTTTACAGTTCGGTTCGATTTCGATGGACGAAGAATCGGAACTGAAATTGTAAACTAACAGTTTCTCATTTTGAAACCGGAATCGAACATTAAAATAACCGAACTGAAGTGACGGTCCTGTACGATTCCTACTAGTTCCACGGTTCGAGCAATTCTTTGTGCACCTATAATGGTGACCCTTATCAATCAAAGTTTCTCATTTATCTTGAAACTCTCCAATATTAGAGCCCTATCTTCCATCAGACGTGTGAGCTGCCTGATTCAACACTCTCAAGTGATACATTCTGAGTGATTTTTTGTGGTAAAAATTCACATTGCATTACATTTCAAGTTTTTCAAGTTTGGGATTTCCTAGTCACTTTTCAAGTTTGGGATTTTCATATTTTTTGATTGAATGTCTTCACAAATTCCCTTTTTTTTTTTCCTCAAATTTTCATCAATAACATTTCGAGTTTGTGAACTGATCTATTTCATAATTCACCATTTTAATTGGATGTATTTATCAATTTTTAAAAAAATTTCATCATCACATTTTGAATTTGTGAATCGCCCAACTCAGATTTCACCATTTTAATTCAATTGTACACAACTTGTACTTGAGATCTTCACCATTTTTTTTTTTTTTTTCACCCATCACATTTGAAGTTTTGTATTTTTTATTCAAACTAATCATATTAGGAGTTTTATTATTATTCTTTTTGTTTAGAATGTGTTAATTTAAAGGAGAGTTTTTGACGATTATTGTGAACTCGTGAGGTCGATTTCATGGTAACATTACTCTAGAAGAAACCTTTTATCCGTGACTTTAAAGCAATTTTAAAGCGACAATATGAATTTTAAATAGAGATTAACAAGAGATGATTTTGGCCTTCTCTGTTTTCAGGTAATTGACACTTTCTTACTTCTTTAATGGAACAAACGATTCTGTTAAAAGTCCAACCATATCCATATTGAATCAATCAATCTATTACTCGGTAGGATTTTAAACCGTGTGATACTAGCATTTTTCTATAAAGAAAATATTATAAAACTGAACTATATAACAGTCCTTTTCTTATACGTGTTAATAGCACTTCAATTGTTACTCAGTTACATTTTTTTTTTTTTTAAATTTTATATTAGAAGTAGAGTATTAATTTTTGAAGCGAAGAAAGATGCTCTAAATGTGACACTGTATGTCCTGAATAATACATTACATTGTTTATGCAACATAATGTATCTGTTACGTAACATACAATATAAAGTTATTGTGAAAACGATTCGATAGTTATCACAAAAGTGATTTATTACTGTTGATACGATCACTAGAACAAAGAATTTTGACGCTTTGCAGGTGAATGGGCAACTAATAGTATGAGCCTCTAAAGTGAAATTTATCCCACAAAAAAATCATATCACTTTATTGGATGGTGCACTTTTATTGAGCGGGCATTATTACATAGTCCCCTATTATTAGTCGCAGGCCAATCACGTGATTGGACATGTAAGTAATTGTGTTAAAAATGTGTAAGATTCATTCAATTTTTTGCTTACGTGTCCAATAGTATTTGGTCACGGAATAATTTGAAAATTTCTCGAACAGAGAAATTATTACATCGTCCTGGAATTATTGGTCCCAAGCCAATCATCATTGAACGCGTAAGCAATTATGTTGAAAATGTGTAAGTTTTATTCAGCTTTTTGTTTACGTGTCCAATAGCATGGTTCGGGACAAGCTAAAAATTTCTTGAACATTGTCTTGGTATGCTTGTGGAGATCGAAATTACTATACAGTCCCGAACCAATTATGTGTTGACACATAATCAAATATATCAGTTATATGTCACTCCTTGTTTGTACACCAAAAGAAGAGAATTAATTTCACATGTCATTTAGGTACCAAAAAATACTTCAACAAAAGGGGGCCCGAACTAGTTTCATTGGTCATTTATATGTACAAAAAAGTGCAACAAAAATTAAAGATTATACAAGATGTCAATACACATACATATATATATTTATACACATGTATATATAATATAATATACCAAAATGATTTTTTCCTTATTCGTGAGCAATAAATTCATTTGCACTATACACATGTGAATGATTATTAGATGTGATGATAATTATATATGATGCGAATAATTTTTTTATCACATAAGAGTAAGAAATCATTAACATTGTGTGTGTGTGTGTGTATATATATATATATATATATATATAAAAGTTTGAGCGTAAGATACATTCCTTTGCACTAAAAAAATCAAGGACTCCCGTATTACAGATGTTTACAACCACTTATTTCATTATTGCAATTGAATCTGAAACTCAACAGATTGAGATTGGCATGTGATGTTGTTGTATTGGTGAAAGATTATTTTGTTGCACCTAATTAGCCCCCCACTTGGTGTTTGACAGTAACCCAAAGTTGACACGTACACAGCCATTGTAGCTGTGGTCCTTTTAAGAGTCAAAACCATGAACAATAATGTAACATAGTCACCCTCAGCACTTTCCTTTCGTTATAAAGACAAATTCACTTAGCCAATTCTTTCTATGCCATTACAATGTCAAAATCATAATGAGCTTGATTTCTAGTTTTCAATCGATTGTCACTTCGAGTCAAAAGAGAATATTTCAGCATTAGTTCACAGAACTTATCAGCACGTCCGTTTAATCCTTTAACAATCCAAACAGATTATATAAGGTTTTACAATCTATCTTATAATCGAGAATCATCAGTTCTACTTGAAATATGTCTTTAGAAAAATAAGTAAGCATTATTTGACATAAAAGTGTGATTGTGTGAGTTAATAATTGCTTAAGCCGCTTTTTTATTTTTATTTTTAATTTTTTGAGTTGAGAAATAAAAATTCTCTTGCTTTTCTTAGTGTTCTAATATTGTCAGTAAAAGTATATTGCTTTGGTGTATGTGGCTATTTCTAACATTGAATTTATTGGTCCTACTACTAGATTAAAACACACGGCCGGCATTTCAGGTGGAAATCTTTGTTACATGGACTCTTCAAAAGTAGTGAAATACTCGTGTCGGACACATATCTCTCGGATGTAGATATGGGATATGTGTCCGACACTTTTGGTTGGACATGTGCTTAAAAACGCATATGCAATCATTCAATTACATTATATTATCACTTTAAAATGAGTTAAATGCCTATATTAAACATTATATTAAATAAAAACATTACTTTATACTAGAAAATAAAATAAAATAATTAATAAAATAAATATTTAGCCGTGTCTGTGTTTCATTTTATTTGAAGATTTGATACGACTGACGCATGGTTACATATTCGTGTCTAATACTCGTACCTGAGTTCATGTAACATAGGTAAAAATAATTGGAATGGCAATATGTTTATTTATTTATTTTTTTTTTTTGGTACGAAGCAAATGAAAGGGTGGACAGTTGTCGAGAAAGTTACGGTATCAATACAGAAAGTAGTTAGCTGGCGGGGATGGGTAATTTGTGCCGTGCTCTACCTTTATTGCTCGGATACAAGGAATATGAATGGCGGGTTTGGTTTACACTACCGTCATATATACATTGGATTGAAACATTAGAAAGAAAATTAAAATACCTTGACATATACTATAAGTTAGTTTTGAATTTGCTTTTCAAATTAGTTCTTGTTTCCATTTCCAAAAATTTTGGAAACAAAAATCATGAAACTACAACAAATAATTAATTAACGAAGAAAACCTAGAGTAATTGAAGAGGGCGGCAGTAGTGGTCCTGTTGAGCTGTGTTATTATACTGTCCAACTACCGCGACCGGCCTACCATGGTTGGATTTGACAAATATGCATTAATTAATTAGCCTACTGAGAAAAACAGCAACAGCAGAGTTTTCATTATTGCGATTAATAAGATCTCTTCATAAGAGAGTTGAACCTTCTGGAATTTTGTTTAACCATTTTTTTTTTTTTTTTTTTTTCAAGTAAACTAATTTTTAGCTACTTGCATCAACCTACACAGACCTAACATCACCAACCTGTATTACATAATTAAATGTAATAAAGATTGTTAGATTTGATTATTTTAATCAATCGAGGAAAATCACTGCTCCATTTGTAACAATTTTATATGTTTTGTACGCGAAATCCCCAAATTTTTAGCTACTTGTATCAACCTACATAGACCTAACATCACGAACCTGTATTACATAATTAAATGTAATAAAGATTGTTAGATTTGATTATTTTAATCAATCGAGGAAAATCTCTGCTCCATTTATAATAATTTTATATGTTTTGTAAGTGAAATCTCCAAAATTTTACCTACTTGCATCAGACCTAACATCTATTACATAATTAAATGTAATAAAGATTGTTAGATTTGATTATTTTAATCAATCGAGGAAAATCACTGCTCCATTTATAACAATTTTATATGTTTTGTACGCGAAATCTCCAAATCAAGAAATCAAAATTAATCGAAATTAAGTTGACGGTTTGCACCAATTGAAAGGGACCCATCACATTGTTTACAGGTTAAGAAGGAAATAGCATTGAACCTGTTGAGTTTGTGCTTTAGTTGCTGTAAGCAGTTCAAGAAGTTGTTGGCATGATCATAAAGGATGCTAGTAAGTTCATAAGTCAAACGAATCCCACGATACTAATATGAATGGGGTGACTAACATAATCATACTAAGAAGCATGCCACTTTATTGGGCCACCTAATAAAGTCACAATACATCATCTTGTTATCAATACTTTTTTAGAAGTCGGACCAACTTTAATAAATTGATACATTTTTATTGAATGGACATTTAAGTGACATGATAAAGTGGGCGTTCCTAATATCCCCTCCGCCATCCCTCAATCACATTAATATTGTCCCATTATATATCATTTTCGGTGTGCGTTTACATTATCACATGTGAGGGATACAATAAATTGGCATGGGGAAGGGTGAGGAAACAATAAATGACGGGACGATAGGGTTGGTTATATAAAGGAACAGCCTCATTTCAATATGTATTCAACTTGTTGTCTAGAGATTTCAATTCAGATATTCAATTAATTGCCATTGATACAAAAATGCCAGGTCTTAGAAACCTCAAGTGTATTCGTGACACTGCCAAAGAAGGAGGATGGACTGGTCACGACGCCCTGGAAGAACAGCCATTGAGTCCCATGGCTCGTTTGTTTCACGAACCAGGTTCAAACGTCTATATCATATCTATGTTGGGCTCAACAACCAAAATCTATCCTGATGTTGTGAAAGCAAATTTGGAGCATACTCTCCTCATGCACCCTCGTTTCTCTAGCTTGCAGGTAATTAAGAAAACATGTCCTCAATTGGGCATGCACAGGAAACAGATATACACCCATTATAATTTTTTAAAGTGTGTGTCATGTGTGAGGGTGAGTGAGTATTTTTCCTAAAAAAATAAATTATTTTTCCACTTTATCCTTATTCCAATGTTTCCCACTAGATCAGTTCCTTTCCTCTTGATCTCTCTCTAACATATTGTGACTAAAACAAGATATATATATATAATGGAGTATAATATATATATGCATCACAGGTTGTGGACAACGAAAATGGTGTAGATATATATAATGGAGTATAATATATATATGCATCACAGCTAGCAGGTAATTAAGAAAACATGTCCTCAATTGGGCATGCACATGAAACAGATATATAAACACATGCATCCATCTATAAATTACTGCCCATTATAATTTTTTTAAGTGTGTGTGTACGTGTGAGTTTTTTTCCTAACAAAGAAATTATTTTTCAACTGCCTTTCACTTACTCCTTATTCCAATGTTTCCCACTAGATCTGTATTCCTTTCCTCTTGATCTCTCTCAAACATATTGTGACTAAAACAAGGTATATATATGCATCACAGGTTGTGGACAAAGAAAATGGTGGAGAGATGAAATGGGTTCCAGTAAAGGTGAACTTGGACAACCATGTGATAGTCCCAGAGCTGAACCCAAACATGGGCCCACCAGACAAGATTGTTGAGGACTACATCTCCAACCTCAGCAAAACCACCATTCCGAAATCCAGACCTCTTTGGGACCTCCACCTCCTGAACATCAAGACCTCGGACGCCGAGGCCTTGGGTGTCTTCCGCATCCACCACTCCATTGGCGATGGCATGTCTTTGATGTCTCTTCTACTCGCCTGCTGTGTCAAGGCTTCCAACCCTCAGGCTTTGCCGACCATCCCTGTGATGAAGTCGTCAACTTCAAACAATTCAAGAGGGTTTTGGTCGGTGATTCAGCTGGTTTGGAACACCATCGTTGGTGTTTTGATGTTTGTTGCGACTGCATTGTTCTTGAAGGACACCAAAACGCCTCTGAAAGGTTCTCGGGGCGTTGAGAACAATCCTCGCCGTTTCATTCACCGGACAGTTGGTCTTGAAGATGTTAAGTTGATAAAGAATGCCATGAACATTGTAAGTTTTTATTTATTCATGAAAAATTATATTTGCTGTAACAGACAAACTTTTGCAATACTCACAGCCTCTTGTGAGTTGATGATGATGAGTCTTTTTTTTTTATTTTTATGAATGCTGCTATTGTGGCTTGGGCAACAAAAAGCAGTGCTCTTAATTTATTGGGTTGATTTTGCTAACACCCCTTAAGGCCAACTATCACATTAAATCATCATTGGAAAATAATTATCATTCGCATTATAAATGTAGTTTTCAAAATGTGTTAGATACCTTTTTGTGTGTAAAATGACATTGTTACCATTCTAACTATTTATTGACTTAAAAAAAGGTTGAAATGACTTAAATACCCTTTCTCTTTAATTATATAAATTTAAAATTATTCTTTATATATATATATATATATATATATATATATATATATATATATCTCATTTTTAAAACCAACCAAATTATAATTATTTTTTAAATTTTTCTTTATATATATATATATTTCTCATCATGTATACCAAATTATATTTCTGGAGAAAATACTGAGATGGAGAGATTTTGGGGGTGACAGAGTGATAAATGAGGGCAATTTGATTATTTCGTACTTTTGATATTTTAGATTGAAATAGATTAAAAAAAAATAGGGATAAAATTGTCATTTTACAGCTTTTTAACGGAAAAGAAAATATAGGTATGAGTGATAGTTAATTTCAAAAGATATTTAAGGGTAATATTTGACCAAACTTAAGAGAGTGCGAGTGAAATTAATCCTAATTTATTTATAATATTTAGCATGTTCAAATTCAAATTTACATTTTCTGACATGTTTGATCAATTATTTACATCTTCTAGAAGAGCTTATTTAGTTGCATGTACATTTACTTATGAATTTTCAGACGATCAACGATGTAGTGGTTGGAGTCACACAAGCTGCTTTGTCTCGATATCTAAACAGGAAATATGGTAAGTTTTCGCACATGTGTGATTCAAGTTTTTTGAAAATAATTCTCAAGAATCCAAAAAAATAAAAAAATATTTTTAAAAAACTGTCAAGACATTTACTTTTTTTTACATGAAAATTAACAACACAATTTTCTATAAAAACTGAAGTAATCAAGCCCTATTTTTTTTCTTTCTTTTTTTAAATTTTTTTGGCATTTCACTCCTCTCATGAGCATATATACACACACACACACACTGACACACTTACACACTTACACACTAACGTATACACACCCTTCCAAATGGTTGTGTTTGCAGTTAGTGAAAGTCGAACGTAAAACTTGGCACTTCATATTTTTGTAAGACATCAAAGCCTAGTAATCTTGAATATACATATACATATATATATATATATATATATATTTCGTAGGTTATGAGTCGCACAAACTGAATGCTTAAAATTGTTAGTTTATAGTGCTTATGTTATGTTGTATGCTTTAAATGATCAGGTGCCGAGGAATAAAAACACACACAACCCTACCAATGATATAGACACACACGAAAATACGAAATTCCATTCAACTGCATTTTACTCTACTTAATTAGTTGTTGTACTTATGCCACACACTATAACCCATGGATCATAACCGTACTATGTAACATCGTATTCCTAATCAATATTTTTTATTTATTTATTTTTATTTTTAAATTTGACAGGTGAGATTAGGAAGGAAAAGGGAGCAACAGAGAAGAAAAATTATCTTCCAAACAACATTCGTCTTAGAGCAACCTTTTTCATCAACATAAGACCATCAGTAGGGATTCATGTGAGTGCTAGTCCGACAAATATATATATATATATATATATATATATATAGTTAGACCTTTTACCAAGGAAATTCGGTACAGGAGTCCTGAATTCATACCAAATACAATACCTAAATGGGTTGGTCAGTTGAGACTGATAGAGAGAGACTGATACTTGGTGATCTGGTCTAATTCAGAATTTCTGATAATAATAATAATAAAAAAAAAAGATTTTCGAGTGTGCACAATTTTATACAGTAGGATTTCTTTTTCTTTTCTTTCTTTTTTTTAAAAAAAAAATTTACCCTTTAGTTATTATATACATTATGGTTGTCACCAACTCTATGATATATTTGCATTGCAATTATAATTTAATTAATTTGCAAGACTCAAGAATTTGCATGAATGCAGGCTCTGTTTGATATGATGAAAAAGGGAACTAAGGTGAGATGGGGCAACAAGATCGGTTATGTCCTCCTTCCCTTCACCATTGCATTGCGGGATGACCCATTAGATTATGTTCGTGAAGCAAAAAGTGTTATTGATCAAAAGAAAGCTTCATTTGAATCTGTATGCACATACATAATTACTAAGCTAATTATCAAGTTCTTTGGCATTAAGGTACGTTTGGTTGAAATTAATGCTTGCTATATCATTTTAAAAATATATATATTTCAATTTCAATCCTATATATCTATATACCACACACACACACAAAATTGTTAAGTTCTTATAAATTCACTTTCTTCTTGTCCTTTTTGTTTTTTCAGGCTGCAGGTGTTCTCAATTACAAAGTTTTTTCCAACACAACATTATGGTTCTCCAACGTACCTGGACCCCAAGAAGAAATTGCATTTTGTGGGCATTCAATGGCCTACGTTGCTCCCAGTTGTTTTGGCCAACCCAATGTAAGTTGTGCTTTTTAATCAACTTTTTCTGTCTAATACGTACTCCATACAGCATCAAATTCAGTTATATATATATATAATTTCATAATTGAGTTACATCACAAATTCATTTCTAAGTGTTTTCAAATGTACGTGGGTTGCAGGCATTGATGATTCATGTGGTGAGTTATATAGACAAATTGACCTTTATGATATCAGCTGATGAAGGAACAATTCCGGATCCACAACAGCTGTGTGATGATCTTGAACACTCCCTCAACCTCATCAAATCGGCTGTCTTAGCTAAAGATCGATCAGTACTGCATCAAGAATGAATGACTAGCAAGATCATAAATGTGTATGCATGTACCATGTGCACGTATGCACACATCCAACACACAATTCGTTGCGTGTCGACGATCTACCTGCAGGCAGCAATACATGCATGCATGCATGACTCGCATAATATATATTCGATCGTTTACATGTTACATGTAATATTAATGAGAGTAGCATATAGACGTTTTATGCACAATAACATTTCATTTTCAATCTTAGAGTTACAATTTTCTAATAGGAGCTGTGCACCGGTTGTAGAGGATGATGTTATACGATGTAAAACCATGCATGTATAATCATTAAATAATTTTAAACTATTTTACATGTACTTTAATTAAAAGTTTTTGCACAAGCTTAATTGAATCTTACAAGTATAATATGGAGCTCCTATATATAAATATTTCACTCCCATGTCCTAATCGATCAACTGAGTAACATATGTATATATATATCTTTAAAAACGTGAATGCGAATGCATGGGTATATTTCACACCTTGTAAGCCCATACTGGGCTGGGCTTCAGTTATGGGTCGTGGTATGCCTTAGTTCATTGGATAACTTAAGTTGATTTGGTTTGCGCTTAGGGATGGCAACGGGGGTGGGTTTGGGTGGGTGTACCCTCCCTCGCCCCCGTCCTCGCCCAACACTGTAAAAAGGAGAGAACTTTCCACCTCATTCCCATAGCCTTTTAACATTTTTACCCCCACAGGTACTTGCCCCGCCCCGTTTAAGATCATAATTTATTAATTGTTGAAATAGATTTGTCTTCTTTTTTTTCCCCTCATCTTCAATTCTTCACCATTGCAACTTTCCTTTTAATCAAATTCATTTGCTACTTTAATATTGCTATAAATGGTACTTAATATATAGTGGTAAATATATATACTATTGAAATAAAAGTATTTAAGTAATTTGCCTATCTAAACGGGGCGGAGCAGTGCGGGGCGACCTCTACCCGCCCCCACACCAAACCTGCCCAGTTTTTTATTACATGAAACCATCCCTGCCCGCCCATATAAGTAAAACGGTCCCTCAAAACCACCAAAAAAGGGGGCGGGGCGGGTAACCGCGGGGGCGGATCAAATTGCCATCCTTTGTTAAACTTGAGTCGTTGAGATTTCTAATCCGAAGCATATTCTAATCTAAATTGAGCAAAAAGTTTTAGAAGAAGGCCACGTGTCACGCTATTGGGAAGGAAGGTCAACAATCTCTATATTCTGTTGAGAAATACTTTGCTAGGTGGAGCAAATGCAAAGACGGAATGGAAGTCTGTTTCAAGATCCATTAGAATAAATAATCAAGAACAACAAGAGAAGGAAGAAGTTTTGACAATTGTAAAAGCACCAGCCTTTATCCCAAAAGTAAGGAGAGTTCAATTTGGTGATTCGAAAATAGATTCCAAGTCTAATTATTTGAACTTCGAATTTGCTAAGAATAGATGAGTATAGTGGTGCGACGAAGAACAACAAGAAGAAGAATGATAAATTTGAGAAAATGTGGAGATTGTTAGGGTGTTTCTCAATTTCATCATAGTGTTTTATTTGAGGTGGAGAAATCTTTAGTTAAGGTAGAACAGATCCTGTTGTTCGAGGTGGAGCACATACGTGAAGATATATTTTGATCACGTGTTGATTACGTGAAGAATTGGAGTGTTCAAAGTTGCGGATTTTGGCTTATCTTTAGCTACTGACAAAGTTAAACCGGTTCAAGTAGGGCTGAACCGGTTCAACATGAGCGTGTAGTTTTCTGGCTTATGCTACTACTAAAGTTAAATCGGTTCAAATGGGGCAATGAGACAGTGAGTTTTTGGAAGCTGCGAAAAATAGTTTCCTAATTGGTTTTGGAAGCCAAAAACTTTGGAAATAAATGAAAGATTTGGTGAAGAAGTTGTACATCTGTTTTAGAGTTGGATATTGATAGGGTAACTCTTTGTAGGCAAGTTAATCCTTGTCCAACAAGTTTTTGAGTTTGAAGACTCTATAAATAGATATGGGTATGAGAGAGAAAATTATAGAGAGAAAAAGATAGTTGAGATTGTGAGAGAGAATAATGTGTAATTAAGTTTTTGAAATAAAGTTAGTCGTTCTCTGCCTGTGGACTAGGCAATTTGCCAAATCAAGTAAATCTCGTTTTTTGCTTGTGTGAGATTTTTTATCTATTATATTTGTCAATTGTGTGTGTGAAACCCAAACAATTTTATATTTTTTATTCAAACTAATAATATTTGGATTATTCTTTTTGTTTAGAATGTGTTAATTTAAAGGAGAGTTTGTGACAATTGTTGTGAACTAGTGTTTTCATGATAATATTACTCTACATGAAACCTTTTACCCTTGACTTTAAAGCAATTTTAGAGCGGCAATATGAATTTTTAATAGAGATTAACAAGAGATAATTTTGGCCTTCTCTGGTTTTAGGTAATCGACACTTTCTTACTTCTTTAATGGAACAAACGATTATGTTAGAAGTCCAACCATATTGGATCAATCAATCTATTACTCGATAGGATTTTAAACCGTGTGATACTAGCATTTTTCTATAAAGAAAAGATTATAAAACCGAACTATATAGAAGTCATTTTCTTATAGCACTTCTATTGTTTTACTCAGTTACATTTTTCTTTCTCAGTATTATTAATGTTTGAAGGAAAGAAAGATGCTCTGAATGTGACATTGTATCTCCTAAATCGGTAACACATTACATTGTTTATGCAACATAATACCTTTGTTATGTAACATACAATATAAAATTATTGTAAAAATGATTTGATAGTTGTCACATAAGCAATTTAAAACCATTGATACGATCACAAGATCAAAGAATTTTGATGGTTGCAAGTGAATGGGTAGCTAATAGTATGAGCCTCCAAAGTGAAAATTATCTCACAAAAAAACATTCATATCACTTTATTGGATCTTTTATTGGGTGGACATTGTTACATGGTCTCAAATTATTAGTTTCGGGCCAATCACTATTGGACATGTAAATAATTGTGTTGAAAATGTGTAAGATTTATTCAGTTTTTTGCTTATGTGCCCAGTAGTAATTGGTCACTTTATCGAACAGAAAAATTATTACATCGTCTTGAAATTATTGGTCCCAAGTCAATCATCATTCAACACGTAAGCAATTATGTCAAAAATGTGCAAGTTCTATATATTCAGTTATTTGTTTACGTGTCCAATAGTATGGTCCGGACAATATAAAAATTTCTTGAACATTACGCCGTGATATGCTTGAGGAGATCGAAATTATTATATAGTCTCAAACCAACTACGTGTTGACACATAAACAAATATATCTGTTTTTTGTCACTTCTTGTTTGTACGCCAAAAGAAGAGAACTAGCTTCACTGTCGTTTAGGTACCAAAAAATGCTTTAACAAAAGAGGCCCGAACTAGTTTCATTAGTCATTATATGTTTAAAAAAAGTGCAACAAAAACTAATGGTCATACAAGATGTAATACCCCTAGTTTTCAAAAGAATAAAAAAGGAATTTAATTATTTATTTTATTACATTTTATTTAATTATGTGATTATGTGCTTATGTGGCTAGGTGTTTATGTGGCTACATGATTATATGTTTATTGTCTTAATTGCTTATGTGATTTATTTGAATTAATTAGGTACTTGTGTAGTTAATTAATTGGGTGTTTTACTTGCTAAATTGATGTGTGGTTTAATTGTAGTTATTTATTTGGATTAAATCATTTAATTGTTTTATGTTGTATTTTATTTTAAATAAGTTGGATAAAGGAGTTGGATATAAATAGTAATAATGGACCAACCCAATGGGTCACATGGACTACTTGGATAGGAGTTGGTTGGTGTAATACCCCTAATTTTAAAAGGCTATTCCTGGAATTTAATTTATGGTTTATTTGCATTTTATTTGCTTATTTGCGTAATAGTTTTATTTAAGTACGGTTTATTTGTTTAATTAGTCATGTTACTTAATTAATTGCTTAATGGTTTATTTGTTTAATTAGTCATGTTACTTAAATTGTTTTTGGTAACTGTTTATTTAATTATTTATTTATTTATTTATTTGTGTTTATTTAATTGTTTAATCAATTTTATTTAATGGAAATTTAAATTTAAGGGAATTTAGTTTTCTGTTCTCTACGTGAATTTAGGGTTGCAATTCACATGGGTGGCCGACGTAGGTATATATCTTAGGTTGGTTTATGGGCCGAGATGGGCTCTGGCTTTAAGGTTACAAGGATTAGGGTTCAGACTTAAGCTTATAAATATATTACGTGCAGTAAGCTTAGGGTTGGGATTCATAGCAGTTAACTCGGAGATGTGAATTGAATTCTGTGAAAGACACAGAAATTGTGAGGGACAGAGGGAGAACAGAGGAAGATAGGAGGTGTCTTTGGGTTGAACCAAGTTACTGGGGAAGCAGACTTGCAATTTAGGACACAAACATATCACCACAGAAGCTGAGAATTTAGAGTTTCAAGTCTGAAACTCAAAGGCAAGTTCTTTTCCTTCTTTTTTCCTTTGCTTGTGTTCTGTGCACCTAGGTGGTCTCTAGGATTTAATTAAGAATTAACTGAGTTTCTTATGTATATTTGATGGTATATCAATGTTCTGTATGTGTGAAAATTAATTCAGTTACAGTTTGTGCGTGTCTGTGATTTATTTGTTTCTTGAAGCATGAAAAAAATCTGATGAATCTGTAGCCTCTGTTTTTGTATTTAACTATTATAAACACATCTTAGGAATGATACTGGACTTAGATGGAACTCTTAGGATCAATTTAAAACCAACTAGACAGGTTGTGAATGGCCGGAAACACTGTAGAAAGTTGTAGGAGCAACAAAGGTTGAAGGAGGCTCGAGGAGGAGGAGAGAGACGGCTCTGGAATACAAAGAGCTGCCTCCCCCATCAAAGAGCCGGCTCTAGGAGAGGTAGAGCCAGCTCTACCCTCCTAGGAGGCGGCTCCAGGTGTAGTTAGAGCCTGCTCCAAAATCTGGAGAAGGCTCTTTCTCACTTATAGTTTCAGAACTTGTTTTTTTGATAAATTTTGAGACTGTAGGAATTGGGGACTGTTTGGACTGAGTTTGGGACTTCACTGTATGACTAAAAAGTTAGTTCTAGGTATTATTAAGACCTTTAAAGGGCTAAAAGCTTATGTTTAATCAATGGGACAAACGGTATAAAAATTACTAATTTTCTATGCGGTTAACGGAGGAACGATGGATTAATTGCCTAACTAAATTTTGGCAATGTAGTGGGATGTAGGATGGTTATAAAAACCTACTAGAATGCATGATAGGATCCTCTATATATTAATTATTGAATCTGTACATGCTTTGGGATCTAAATCGTTGAAACAATAAACTT